GGAGTGCGCCAGCCTTGGTGTCGCCATCGTTGACGTCCTTCCCGGTGCCGCCGCTCATCTTGGTCGACTGGATGTAGCCGTTGGCCATAAATGTGGGAAAGGTCGCGAGGATCACGAGCGTCATTTGCCAGCTCTGCGTAAACGCAATCACTATCGTGACGGCGACCGACGCGAGCGTCACCAAGATCGCGTTGAGTGTCTCGGCCGTCATGGAGCGAATGGCCGCCGAGTCGGTCGCGAGGCGCGTTGTGAGGGCGCCAGACGAGTGCTTCTCGTCGTCAAACCAGCCAATGTCCTGGCGCAGCATCGCGTCAAAGCACATGGCCCGGATGCGCGACGTGAGACGCTCGCAAGCAATCGCAAACTGATGGTTCTGGACGACAACGGCCGCAAAAAGACGGCACCCAGCGCCGCGTACGCGCCCGACCAAATCGACGCTTCGCGCAGCATGGTATCGGCACCGAGATCGACGCGGAAGAAGAGTACGGTCGATTTGGTCAAGAGCACGCCCCAGATCGGAAACACGGCGCCGTTGACGAGCGCACCGAGGCTGCCCAAAGCAAGATTCAAAAACTCGGGCTGGCTCAAGCGCCAGACGCGCATGATCGACACAGGGCCCGACGGAAGCGACGCATCCGTGTCCGACGCCGACTCGATCGACGATGCCATTGCGTCGGCTTCGGTAGTCAATGCCGGCTTGTGTTGCAGACGATTGTGGCCCGACGCGACGGGAAACATATCGTCGGTGGTCTCGGAAGTTTTCATCTGCGCGTCAACAAGCGCCTTGTAGAGGCCGTCGGGACGTTCCACTAGCTCGTCGTGCGTGCCGTCTTCCGCGATTCGACCTGCTTGGAGCACGACAATGCGGTCGGCGTTCCGGATCGTCGAGAGGCGGTGCGCAATGATGATTGTCGTCCGGTTGCCCGACGCAACGAGACGGTCCAAGGACTCCTGCACAATGTGCTCACTCTCCGTATCGAGCGCGGACGTCGCTTCGTCCAGGATCAGAATGCTCGGGTTCTTGATGATCGCGCGCGCAATCGCAATGCGTTGCTTCTACACATCGACGGTTTCAAACTTTGGAAAGTGCGAAGTGGGAAAGGACAGCATACCTGACCGCCCGAGAGCTGCGCGCCGCGATCACCAACTTCGGTGTGCAAGCCGTCCGGAAACCCCATGATAAAGTCGTACGCGTTGGCTTGCTTGGCGGCTGCAATCACCTCGTCGAGCGTCGCGTCTGGCTTGCCGTGGCGAATGTTGTTGGCAATCGAGTCCTGAAAGAGACACGGCTCTTGGCCGACAAGACCGATCTGCGACCGAAGCCATTTGAGGTTGAGATCCTTGACGTCGTGGTCGTCGAGCAAGACCGTGCCGGAGAGCGGGTCGTAGAAGCGCTCGAGGAGCGAGACGATTGTGCTCTTGCCACTACCACTCGCGCCGACGAGCGCAATCTTTTGGCCTGCCGGGATCGTGAGCGAGTAGCCGGCGCAGACGCGGACGTCCGGTCGCGACGGGTACGCAAACGAGACGTTGTTCAATGTGATTTCACCGCGGACAGACGACAGCATCTTGCCCGACGCTGCGGTCGCATCGATCTTGGACTCGCGCTCGATGAGTTCATAGACGCCGTGGGCGGCTGCACGGGCCGCAAAGATGGCTTGGGTAGCGGGGCTGGCTTGGCCGAGCGCCATCGAGCTCATAATGATGCAGAAGAAGATGATGAGGACGCGACCACTGTCGTAGCAACCGCTCCCGACGCACGACCCGGTGATCTGGTCGTCGGCGACCTTGACCGCGCCGTAGTACATACCGATCGCGTACGTGCAAAAGATGACGAAGAACATGCCGCCCGTGCCAACGCCGACGGCGACGCCTTTCTTGAGACCGGCGGCTTCCGTCTTTGCGAGCGCCGCCTTGTACTTGAGCGCAAACGACGTCATGGCGTTGAAGACGTGCACGGTGCGGATGTTGCTCAAAGCTTCCTGCGCGATGCCGCCCGCCTCGCCATACGCGTCGACGCCAACTTGGGTGGCTGCCGTGATCGCCTTGATCATCCAGTAGCCGCTGCCAGCGACGAGCGGCGCGACAGCCAGCAAGACGAGCGCGAGCTCCCAGCCGTAGATCATGGCGACGATGATGCCCGTGAGACCCATGGTTGAAAAGTTGATGGCGTCTGCGACCTTGCGCCCCAGACCTTCTTGGATGATGAGCGTCGTATCGGCGACCCGCGTCGCGAGTTGCATTGGGTCGTTGACGTCGAACCAGCCGACTTCTTGGCGAAGGATGGCCGACGCGTAGGCGTGGCGAAGGCGCTTCGTCTGGCGCGCCGCCGCAATCGAAAAACACGCAATCTGTGCGAGACCGGACAGAAGTGCAATCGCAGCGACAACAGCAAACTGGATCACGATGCGGCGGATGCCCGCACGGAAGTTTTCGGTATCGTCGCTCAGGCGGTTGGGGCCCACGGCGTTGAGG